TCAGCCAGCAGATGAAGTAGAAAACAGGGTCTGGGAGATATTTTTCTATTTCCATACTTTTAATTATTCTTAATGCATACTCCCTAGATGGCTTAATCACTAACAGGCTGAAGCTATGGTCTGGCATAACACTGGGTTAATTATGCTTTTTGGGTTACAAAGGACAGAAATCAATTCACTTAGGCTACCTTAAGTAATGAGGGTTCACTGCTCAATTATACATGACACTATGTGTGGCTTCTTCTCTCTCTGCCTACACGCCCCTAACTCTTACCAACTCCTAACCCCCAATCCAGCTGGCTGATCCTCTCCACTATTTCCCAGCTCAAATTCCAGAGTGTCTGTTTCATCAACGTTGTTACCTAATTCCCACTGGTCAGCGCTTTTTCTGTCACACCGCCCTTCAAGCTACTTGCCAGCCTATGAACTGGTTGCCCTTGGGTCAGGTGGCTGCCTCTGGTCCAATCATCAGGCGTCTACTGCACGACGTACGGTTTAGGGCTACTTCCTTCCACAAGGGGCTGTGTACCAAGGCAGCTTTCCTTAGGAAAGGGTGCGGGAATTTCAAGCCATGTCTATGTCAAGTGGCCACCAAATACTTAAGAACAAATAAGCTACTGATTTGGAGGCAAGAGTCTTTATGGGAGCAGGACCAGCTTTGCAGACTTACCACCTGTGCAGTTACACAGGGTCCCTGTACTCAAAAGGGCCCACACTTGGGTAAATGCTCTGCTGTGGCCATCTTTAAATACTTTGTAATTTTTAAACAGGGGACCTGCATTTTCATTTTGCACAGGGATTTGCAAATTAGGCAACTATTCCTGTATAGGACTTTTTATTACATTATAAAAAGTGAAAGGATTTTCATAGAACCAAATAATGTTGGATCCAGTGATTCTTCTAAGATCATCTGCTACAAATATTCATTTGATAAATAAGAAAACTGAGGTCAAAGAAAGGATAATTGGCTTAATCAAGATCCACCAGTGAGTCCTAGCAATGTCAGACTAGAAACAGATTCTTACCCCTCCAAGTCCAGACTTCTCATTCTTCCATTGGACAGGCTTTCTCCTGGCAAGGACTACATGTTGCTGGTCCATTTTGCCAGGATATTTGGTAAGCTACTTCGAAATCTTATAAAATAAAGGCTGATGTTAAAACACAAATGTGGATCTTTTCTTGTTCAATTTTGCAGCTCGTTTCTTATCCTTTGACCCCCTCAGAACAAATTCCGCTGGCAATCCCCAGAATCTAAAACAAAAGCTGAGTGGCAGAATGTAAACTAATAGAATTTCTATGGAGGATCATTTGTAATAGATATCAAAATTACAATGTTCATACTCCTCAACCCCACAATCCCATTCTAGATAGAGCTGCACATATGCAAAAATATGCAGGCCTAAGACTATTCATTTTTATGTTATTCATAATAGCAACAGATTGGAAATAACCTAGATAACCATCAACTGGAGACTAGTTTGTTGTTGTTGTTGTTGTTGTTGTTTTAAAAAAAAAAAGAGGATGATGCAATAAAATACTATGTAGTTCTTGGGGAAAAAAAGAAGCTAATCTATATTTACTGATACAGAACAACTTCCAATACATCATTTCATGATAAAGCAAGGCACAAACTGTATACAGTATGCTTCTGTTTGTAGCAAAAAGGATATATAATCAGGTATCCTACAACTATACACACACACACACACACACACAGAGAGAGAGAGAGAGAGAGAGAGAGAGAATGGATATTTGTATATGTATAGAATTTGTCCAAAAGGGCAGGGCACGGTGGCTCCCACCTGTAGTTCTAGCACTTTAGGAGGCCAAGGTGGACAAATCACCTAAAGTCAGGAGTTCAGGACCAGCCTGGCCAACATAGTGAAGCCCCATCTCTACTAAAAATAGAAAAATTAGCCAGGTGTGGTGGCATGTGCCTGTAATCCCAGCTACTTGGGAGGCTGAGGCAGGATAATCTCTTGAACCTGGGAGACAGAGGTTGCAGTGAACCAACACTGTGCCACTGCACTCCAGCCTGGACAACAGAGTGAGACTCCATCTCAAACAAAAAAAGAAGAATTTATCCAGAAGGATATACAAAAAAGAGCAATTGTCTCTGAGGAAGGGACATGAGAGACTCAGGAATAGGAATCAGGGGGCGGGGGAAGATTTTTATTCCATGCCCTACTGTTCCCTTAAAATTTGTACTATGTGCTCATATTATCTCTTCAAAAACTAATTAGTTACATGAGTGCCTGAAAAAGGACCCCATGATGCTGCCAGTATTATATCATATCTACAATAATAAGCAACATAATATATTGCTATTATTTTTACTAAAGCTTTTGCTGAAATCTTGCATAACAAACTTAGAGACCAAAAAAAATTAAATGTAGTTAAATTAGATTTAAAAAATCAATTCTCTCCCCCCCCCCACTCTGCTGTAGACAAAAAGAAAAACCTGAAAAGTTTTCAAAACTTGCATAATCCATTGCTTGTTTAGTCATTGGCACAGCTGCGTGATACAATGGAGAAAACAAGAAATGTTTCCAATTCTTCCTTTGGAAATTTGCCAATATCATCTCCAAAGTATCCTCAGATGTTATCCACTTATGTTTTTCCATTGCACCTACCAGCAGAGTGCCTAAGCACTTTAACAAGAGCTGTATTTTGAACTAAAAGCATGACGAGGGATACAAACCTCAATATTGCCCTAGTTTAGCAAAACATTTGCCTTGGGTGACAGCAGAAAAGGAAGCTTAGTCCTTCTGATGCCCCTGCTTCCCTTGGGAAAACTGTGATTCCTACCTAGGAGAGACAGGAAATGTGTTTTCCGGACATATTTTCTTTGTTGCTTCAGTCACACACATTTTATATTTATGCAATCCCCATGTGGTGGATCAAAGATGGCTACAAATTCTTTGACACTTCTCTCCTGTGGAGAAGGAATCTATTTCCATCATTCTTGATTCTGGGCTGTCCTGTGACTGCTTTGACCAATGGAGTATGACAGAATTGGTACCATGCCAATTCCAACCCTAGTCTCTAAAATAACCAGCAGAGTCATGAGTGACCCACTGTGTAAGAGTCCAACTGGCCTTCTAAAGAGAACATGTAGAGATGCTCTAAGACTACATTGAGAGGGAGAGGGGCCCAAAGCCTGTCAGCCATTCCTATCAAGACACCAAGCATGTGAGGGAAGCCATCTTGGATGCTTCAGGCCATGCCAGGCCATTAAAGCCAGGTGAGGCAGAAGAATCACCCAGCCTAGCACTGATCAAATTCCTGATCCAGAAACTTCTGAGATAATTAAAATGTGGCTTTAAGACACTAAGTTTTGGAGTAGTATGCTATGCCACAATACATAATCAAGATATCACACTATCAAAAATTAAACACTAGCATCTATGAATCTTTTATACTCAAAATTCAATCTTTCCTAAATTATCTTAGATTACTGATAGAATGATCTCATGCCAGGCAGCTACAGCTACTGGGAGAAGGGGCTAGGTTCCAGTTAAGACAACAGAAGAATTTTCTAGCACCTCCTTGCTATAATGCCAGAGATAAATCTCTATTGGCCAGTGCTACCAGACAGCACTCCAGAGATCATGGTCAGGGAGCCTGGAGTTTGCCAGCTCACACAGGACCACCATTCCTGAGGGCATCCTTTGACCAGCCCCAACCACTACCGTACTCTGCCCATGTCCACCAACGCCATGTCCACCACCTCATGGGTATCACATGTGATTATTCTTGGAGGTAGGTTAAGAACCAGGCCCCCAGCCGGGCATGGTAGCTCACACCTGTAATCCCAGGACTTTGGGAGGCCGAGGCAGGCAGATCACTTGAGGTCAGGAGTTCAAGACCAACCTGGCCAACATGGTAAAACCCCATTTCTTCTAAAAATACAAAAAATTAGCCAAACATGGTGGTGGGCACCTCCAATCTCAGTACGTGGGAGGCTGAGGCAAGAGAATAGATTGAACCCAGGAGGTGGAGGTTGCAGTGAGCCGAGATTGAGCCACTACACTCCAACCTGGGTGACAGAGGACACAACTTTGTCTCAAAAAAAAAAAAAAAAAAAGAACCAGACCCTCTACTCCAGCCGTTGCCCTTTCAGGGTGGGCTGAGGGAAGGAGGGCTAAGTCTTGGAAGGAGAGATTCCTGGATTAACTTCCTCAGCCCACAACGACTGGCAGTTGCCACCCACTGCAGCCATGTGCCTGTTCTCACCCACCCACAGGGTTGCCAAGGCCTGAGGGAGGTGGCACTGGCAGAAACCATAATTAGGAATTTCATCATATTCTTTTGCTAGAATTGAGAACAAATTCTTCCTTACAACATGCAAATCTATTGTTCGACTTTCAAATATCCAACTAACTTTCAAACACATTTTTGGGAACCCATTAGATACAAACTAAGACACTACCTCTTCTGAACTGTAGACAAGGCCTTGAAATTCAGACAAGAGCATTTCCAGGGTTGACACAATAATGGAAGATTCAGAAGACACATGATGGAAGAGAACAAGGAGGTCAGCAAACATGGTCCAGCAAGGTCCAGGTTGTGCCGAGGCAAACATGGACCCAGAAGCTATGAGGGAAGGAAAAGGGGAAGTGCAAAGAGGGTCTTCACCCCTCCTGTGTCCCTGGCTTCGAAGGAGTAAATTCCCATTCAATTTCATAAAAGGCTTTCACCATTGCCTATACAGACAAATTAAAGCAGCAAGTTGACCATCTGAATAATCTATTGTGATAGATCAGTGTATGGATAGTACTGAGGGAGGGAGGTGTTTGGCTTTAAGCTTTTTCTCAAAGGCAAAAGGAACAAATTTTAGGATTTTCCCAAATTATCTCAATAATTTTTTCAACCCTTCACTTCAGACAAAATATTTAAGGAAATGCTATTTCCATAGTATTCTTGGGTCATATCTATAGAGCCACAGCCCAGGGAGGGGCACAGGAGGGAAGAAGGAGGGGTAGAGTCACCCAGATTACCTGTCTGGTTGCTTAGAGTGGTCCAATTTCACTAAGAATCACACAAACCTCTTCATTCCTTCTGCTTTGTTCACCTGACCTTTTTCAATTTCTTTTTCCTTTCTCCATTACCCTAAGGGAGTAATCTAGCCACTCTGGCTTTCTCTGCATGCAAAATGTAACAGTGCCTTCTTTCTTCTTTCAGATAAAGGCAGTCTTGGGGAGGGGAAGAGAAAAGCGCCTGGCTTCTTCAAATTAGCTCTGAAATAAAAGTCACTGCCAGATGTTATATAAAAGGTGACGTAATCCTAAAGTGCTTCATTACATATGCAGCTCTGCTCTTCAGCCCAGGAGGAGTTTATTACATTTTGTCAATCCCATTTTCTATACCCACATCATTTTTACATAATTTTTCCTGCCTGACAGACATCTTCACATTTTCACAGCAACCCATCAAGACAGCGTTACAACAGCACAGGGAACTGGGATAGCAGTTTACAAATAACAGTGCTAATAAGTCAGATTTGTCCCTGAGATACAAATCAGGAGTAAATGGTTTATCCATGCGTGTAAGAAGCACATCTATTTTGGAATAACAGGGAAGAAAGCAGAGCACTGTTTCAACTGACACCGTGATCTTTCAGAACATGTACCAAACCTATTCTACAAGTAGGAAAATGGGGAAATGTCCATCTAAAGTTATTCTTGCAATTCTCTTCGTTTTCCTAATAAATTCCTGGCTCATAGTGAAATAGATGGCCATGGCAAATGCATTAAGATTGAACTTCCTGCCTTTTTGGATTGCACAAAATTTGAAGAAAATACACCATTTGTACCAATGAAATATCTAGCTACTGAGATGCTTTAAGTGCAAACACTGAGAGACACCTCCTCCCACTCGCCAGGTGCTAAGCATCCTTTCCCATCTCCCTGGGCACTCATGGCCCCACTGCCCCCTGATGGTAAAAAGCAGCAGTGCAGGCTGGACCATTCTTCCTCAGGAGGATTGTCAGACTGGAGTAGACGGTTCAAAGACATTTGCCTTAAGGTCAGTGTGAGAAGCCAAGGACACAGAATTCTTAGTTACCAGTCAGAAACAAACTTATGCGACTCAAAATTCCAGTGGGAAAAGAAAGTGCCTGTGACTTCTACCCCAAGGAAATATACACATGAGGAAATTTCATCTTTAGAACCTCCATCCGTCTTATGGAAAGATCCCTATAAAAATGAACTTTATGTTTTTAAACAGTAATTATAAACTTAAGGTAACAGAGGTTTTTATTCTTTTTTAAGAGTGTGACTTGAATATAGGAGAAGGTGAGATATAAAGGCTATATGGAGGAATTTTGACCCCTCCCTGCCACCCTACCCCCTCACTGCCCAGAAAACAGAGGTACTAGCATCTAGCCCCAAAATAAATGTATCAAATGTCACACTGTTATCCAAAGTCATCACATGCCTTAATTCTACAAGTAGCTTGTTTCATAGGTTCAAATTTTCTTCTTTTTAAAGCAGTTTTTCTTTAAATCAAAGTAATTCATGCACATAATATAAAGAGTCAAATCGTTCTAAAGGAGTCCAAGCAGTCCCTACCTCCTGTTTCCTGCTCCCCGACGGCAGACACTTCCAGCTCTTTTAAATGAACCATTTACTTTTTACCTCTATGTGTCTAAATAACATGTTCATCTTGCTGCCTCTTGATTCTTTAGCTTAAGCATCATATATTGACTCTGCTCTATGGAAGATGACATCATAAGTACCCACACACACATACACAGCCCCATCACACATATATACTCCCAGTATGTTATAATTTTGGTAAGAACAGTAATCAATATTTATAGAACTATGACTATTAAATTCTTGACAACAAAACCATGTGGTATATCCTGTTCACCTTTCCTTTCCTGAACAAGTTTATGTTTTCCCCAGAATTTTAAAAAAAGACAAAAAAAAGTCATAGGGCATGGTGGCTCACACCTGTAACCCCAGCACTTTGGGAAGCTGAGATGGGCAGATCACTTGAGGTCAGAGTTCAAGACCAGCCTGGCCAACATGGTGAAACCTGTCTCTACTAAAAATACAAAAAAATCATCCAGGCATTGTGTGTGCCTGTAATCCCAGCTACTCAGGAGGCTGAGGCAAGGGAATTGCTTGAACCCGGGAGGTGGAGGCTGCAGTGAGCCGAGATCACACCACTACACTCCAGCCTGGGCAATGGAGCAAGACTCCATCTCAATAAAATAAATAAATAAATAAATAAATAAATAAATAAATAAAAATAAAAAATGTATTTTCTTCGCATGCTATATTTTCTATATATTTTTTGTATTAGTTTCCTAGGACCACCATAACCAAGTACCACAAACTGGGTGGCTTTAAAGAACAGAAGTATATTGTCTGTAACTCTGGAAACTAAAGTCTAAAATTAATGTATCAGCAAGGCCATGCTCTCTCTGCAGGCTCTTCCTGTCCCCTCCAGCTTTTGGTATTTGCCAGCAATCCTCAACACGCCTTGGCTTGCAGATGTGTCACTCCAATCTCCGCCCTGATTGTCACTTGTCATATGTCACTTTATTTCTTTTTTCCTTTTTTTTTTAACAGGGTCTCACTCTGTCATCCAGGCTGGAGTACAAAGGCACAATCATGGCTCACTGAAGCCTCAACTTCCTGGACTCAAGCCATTCTCCTCCCACCTCAGCCTCCCAAGTAGCTAGGAGTACAGGAACATGCCACCACTTCCGACTAATTTTTACTTTTTGTAAAGACAAGGTCTCACTATGTTGTCCAGGCTGGCCTCAAACTCCTGGTCTCAAGCAATCCTCCCACCTCAGCCTCCCAAAGTACTGAGTTTACAGTCATGAGCCACTGCGCCTGGCCTATGCAGCCTTTTTCCATGTGTGTTTCTGTCTTCACATGGCATCTCCTCTCCATGTGTGTCTGTCCCTGTGTCTCTTCTCTTGTTATAAAGACACCAGTCATCTTGGATTAAGGGCCTATCTACTCTTGCATGACCTCATTTTTAACGGACTACGTAATTATGTCTACAAAGACCCTATTTCCAATAAGTCACATTCCCAGGTACCCAGAGTTAGGACGTCAACATTTTAGTTGGAGGTGGTGGGGAGAGCACAATTCAGCCCACATTGATCTTCACTAATTTATCCCCAACTCTGCCCAACTGGCTAAGTCTCCTCTGAGTATATTATCTGTTTTCCATCAATCAGGTTTCATCTTCTGTGTCAGTTCACTCTCAAATGGGCTTTATCTTTATAATTGGCTACAACTACAGCACATCTCCTTTTAGGTTCAAGTGGAAAAACAGGACATGTTTCCCCCTTTGTAGTCTCATCACATGCCAATCTCCAACCAGTCGTTGTAAGCAGAAGAAGACTGCACTCACGTGGCTTGAGCCTGGGTTATATGCTCCCTAGATAGAGCTGGGCGTTAAGACCGGCTTTATTTCACTAAATGACCTGAGCGTGGAGAAGAGAGGATCCCATACAGGGTGAATGGATGGATACTGAACATCAAAACCAAATGAACATCCTCTACTGCCACTTGTTAGAAAATACTTTAAGAGGGGTCATTTTCTCCCCAAGCTTGGAACATAGCTTTTGTCCTTCTAGAGAATTTTATAATAATCTCTTCCTTCCCGGAAGTTTCAGAAAGCAGAAAAGACATTGAACAAAAAATACATTCAGATCTACATGTTATCCTTTTTCTGCTTTTATAGAGATTAATCTGGTAATATCTGAGGAAAAAGTACATGTCACTTGAGTACATTTTTGCATCCTAAAACGTTTGGAGAGAAGGTACTTATTATCCCGAATACAAAATCTCACACACATGGAGGGAAATATCCCCTGGTCAAAGCCCCATGATTTCAAATAGAATGATGCAGAAAATAAAAAATTCCAGCCAGGCAGGCAATAACCATCCTGTTCATAAAAACGCTCTCGTGCTGAGATGCCACAAGAAGTTTTCTTCAAATGAGCTTTCACACGGCAATCTCGTTGTCCAACATCATCTCTTGCTATCTGTGAAGAGTTTGGAAAACAATGGCCTCATTCCTCTCTCCACCTGATGGTATCTGCCTCTGTGAAGGAGTTCAGAAAATGGTGAAATTTTGGTTTTCTTTTCACCCATTTTCCCATTATTTTTTTTTTCTGTTTTTAACCTAATTTTTTACATTTTTGAACTACAGATCACAAACTTTAACAGTCACCTTATTCACTGGAACAGATTGCTTGAGCCTAAGAAAAATTAAGCATCTTTTCCTGTCAGAGCAATTCGATCAAAGCAAAACAAAGAACATAGGAGCTAGATGACAAAATCGAGAAGAAAAACAGGGGGAAATGGGAGCGGATGGAGTCAGAAGGAAGCTAGGAAAGAGAAAGAGAAAGCCAGGGAAACCAAGAAATTTTTTAAAAAGTGGATATGACTCAGAAACATTTAAAATAATTTTTTTTAAGTGGGGGGAATAAAAAAAGATGGGAAAAGCCCTAACCTAGGTATGAGGACCTGCACTGCGGGCAGCTGCTTCACCCCAACCCTGTGCACCTGTCTGGGTGGTCTCTCTGGGACTCAGTCTCCCCCACTGCGTGGAGTGATCCAACACATCTCCTGAGCCCCTCAGTTCCAAGACGCTGTGATCTTGAGTCTTCCATAAGGGCTGTGGAAGAGATGGGAGCCACCCACTCAGTTAACACTCACATAGCAGGTGCCTACCCAGGATGGGCACCACCTGTGTGGGGATGATGATCAAGCAGCCCACTGTAGGGGCTGGCTTTTGTGCTGCCTTTGCCGATAGAGCTGTCTTCTGCTGAGATCAGAGGGCAGTCTGATGGGTAGCTAAGTGCTGGATATAAAGCTGCCAAACCAGCAGGCTCAAGAGAGGCACTCTAAGAGGAGTATTTCCTAAAAACGCAGCATTGCAAATGACACGTCTTGACATCACATTCCCAGAACCTATCACCTCACCCGCCCTGGGGTTTTAACCATTTAAAAAACAGTGCACTCCCTATTCCAGGTGATGGTAGTAACAAGGCCTAATTCCCAGACCAATGCCCTCCACCAAATACACCAAAGCAGAAATGTAAGCTCTTCTATAACTTATTCTCTCTTCTATTTGCTGTCACCCTACATGTAAGCTCCTGAAATTTGATAACATATTGAGTATTGAGATATTTAGGCCAGCAGTGATTTTCAACCCTGAGACATTTAGCTCGGCTAGAGAGTCGG